CCCTATTGTGGGATTTTCTTGGCAAGTTCTCTTCAGAGGAGGTTTGCCACTGCCTTCCAACTGAGGCTGAGAGCATGTGACTTGCCCAAGGTCAGCCAGTGGGTTTTATGACTGACCAGGGAAACCCTGGTCTGCAGAGTTGTAATCCAACACTCAAACCATTATACAAGTGTGAAGAAACAAGCATGATAAGTCAGAAATTCATCATTTCAAACTGTAGCAACAATTGACTAGAAAAGCAACCTAGTATACTCATATGGTTGTTGTAAATTAGAAAGGGCAGCTACATAGGGAGAGAGCCGAATCCCAGACCTTCCCATGCACTGCCCACCCAGAGCAAACCCAAATACCTTTATTCTCCTCTGCAGTCCCTTTCAAAACAGTGACAGGAAGTAATAGGATATCATTTTGGAAGGGACTGCAGAAGAAAATGGAGATATTTCAGAATGGTAATGGGTTCTAATGTGCTTGTGGGGAATGGGTGAGGGTATTTTTGTGTTTGCATGTTCTGGAGGCTTCCTGTGTGATTTGGGGGCAAAAATTGTTCAAACATCAAAATGTTGTTGGTTGTTTTTTTTTAATTGGGGATTGTGGGGGTTTGGAGATACTGGTGAGGGGCTTCAGAGGCCACAAAAGTGGGATCCAGGGGTGGCATGACATGATTTGAATCCTTGAAACATGCCATACAGTGCTAATTATTACAGATATGAAAGGCAGAAGAAAATGAAGTTAGAATTTAAAAAAAAAAAAAGATTCTGAACAAACGGAACTGTTATTAGACCAGATGATTGTTCTATGAACTTTACAACTGTCTATTATTACAAATACTTCTTCAGAGTCTTAACAGCCCTTCCCTGAAGATGCCAGGGATAGAAACTGGGACCTTTTGCCTGAAAATGATGTGCTGTGTGATTGAATGTCCCTTCCCAAAAGTGACTTCTTAAGAAGACTACAGTGGACCCTCAACATTTGCTGGGGTTAGAAGTGGAAAAACCACAAATAAAAACCACTTTTTAAAAAGACTTCTCGAGGAATCTCTAGGTCCACCAAGGCAACTCTGTCAACATCAGTCAGAAGTTGACCACAGAATTGCACTGTAGGACCTACAAATGCCTAGGCAAGTGTTCTCTCTAGGAATCTCTAGGTCCTCCAGTATGACATCTGATGGAAGTTGACCACAGACCTAGAGATTCCTAGAGAAAATATATTAATCAAATCCATGAACAATTAAATGTGTAATAGTCAAAACCGGAAATGTGGAGGGCTGACAGTACTGGCAAAGAGAAAAATCTGCAGTGATTTAAGACAAGAAGCCCATTCTTTGTTAATTTTAATTCTGGTTATTATATTAGGAAATACTGTGTTGATGTAAGCCAGAATCTTGTTCAGGCCTGTAAGTATAAAAATAGTTGCATACATAGCTGTGTCTTCTCAGAGGCTGCATATGTGTGGTCCATAGTTCGGCTAGCAATTCCATGAACACACAGCCAGCCCTGTCATGTGCATTTGACTGGTGCATGCAGAGTTACTTCACTATTGAAAAATGAGTGAAACCTTGGAGTCCATACCACCATGATGGCGAACCTATGACATGCGTGCCAGAGATGGCATGTGAAACCATTTTCCCTGGCATGTGGAGGGCAGAGAGGAGGAGGAAGAGCCACATGCCTGTTCCTCTTCTTCTTCCCCCTCACTTCCCGGGCCTTCAGCTGTCTCTGGAGAGGCAACTGAAGGCTGAAGATGGCAGGGGGAGAAGTCCTGCCCCCAGAGGGCAGAAATCTCACCCCTGGCACAGGGTAACACCTGGTGCCGGAAGGGCTGAGTTTGGGCACTTGGCCCCTAAAAGGTTTACCATCACTGCCATACCACAATCAGCAGCACAACTGTTGGATCCAACATAACTACCCTGCTGTATATTTATTTGTTGCTGTTGTGTACCTTCACACAACATTTCCAACTTATGGCGATGCTAAGATGAACCCATCATAAGATTTTCTTGGTACGATTTTTCAGAGAGGTTCCCCATTGCCATCTTCTGAGGCTGAGAGAGTGTGACTTGCTCAGTGGGTTTACATGGCTGAGCCAGGATTCAAACACTGGTTCCCAAAGTCTTAGGGCCTAAACAGACGGCGCTTTGCGCTGTCATGGAGGCAGGGAAGGGGAAGGACAGCCACACGCCGGGCACCCTAACCCCTTCCCGAGGATGTCATCATAGCGTGTGCCATTACGCATGGCATGTGCCATCAAGACATCCTCTCGGTGCAGTGTCTTAACGTGCTACACTGGAAAGGACGCAGAAGAGCTGCGCCCTTTTTGCCAGCTCTGGAAGAACCAGCATTTTAGCGCTCCTTTCAGTGCCGGCAAAAGGGTGGATTGGGGCTGAGGTGTGCCTCAGCCCCAATCCTCCGTTTCCCAGGGCAGCCGGTCTGCATACCCCCCCAAGTCTAACACTCAAACCACTACACCACACTGGCTTGTATATTGATACTACACTAAATTTGTTTATCATATCCTCCAACATTTAAGTGATGAAAAACAGGATAGGTATGGCCAAGCAACATCAGAGTGTGGTCAAGATGGCAAAAGATATTAATGAAGAACAAGAGGCATGCTAGGAGAAGCTGTGATAGTTTGTTTTTGTCTAAGACTACTGGGAAGGACAATACCCTGCCCCTTCTTCTCATCTTTCCCCTGTGGATTAAATTGAGTGCATTACTTTTGCGCTTTGAACTCAGTTTGCAGCAGTTAAAGTAAGCTGAGGACAAAGGGGGAAAGTGGGAGGATGAGAGAGAAACCGGGACATTTTAAAAGTATCTGAAATAGAACAGAGGATTAATCAGGTGTCCCTGTCAAATTTGGGACAGTTGGAATGCATGGTGTTCAAGAGCCCTGGTGGTGCAGTGGTTAAATGCCTGTACTGCAGCCACTCACTCTCAAACTACAAAGTTGTGAGTTCAATACCAGCCAGGGGCTCAGGCTCGACTCGGGCTTGAATCCTTCCAAGGTCGCTAAAATTAATATCCAGTTGGTTGGGGGCAATTAGCTTACACATTGTAAACTGTTTAGTGAGTGCTTAAGTGCACTGACAAGTGGTAGAAAAATGTACTTGCTTTTGCTATTGTATAAGATCTTTGCCATAATCTTATTTATATAAGGAAAACTTCTATTCTGGAGCTTTCAGAGTTAAACCTAAAGATAGATTTTTGACTGATCCAGTTGTAGTAATAATTACATTCCATGGTAACAAAGTGTTCAGTCAAAGATTCAAATTCACCTCTTAAATTCTTGGTATTGTTTGTTAAGCTTTTGCACCTACACTGTTATTTGAAAATACCATATTGTGTTTGTTTACAACACTCCTTGTTGCACTGAACATTCTACATTATCACAGAAGTAACAATTTCTGCAAAACGAAATTGTAGCCATATACAAGCATGTGCATTTTTTCTTTTTCTTTTTTTTTTTTTTTTTTTTTACAAAAGCAATTTCTAATTCACTTTCTTTTAGTAAAAGAAGGGCCTCTCCTTAGTCTAAAATGGTTTGCAGGGAGCCAAAACATAAAAAAAAGATTTTCTTCAAAAAGATTTCTGCGGATGAAATAAGTTTTTACCATTGGGGGGCCAGGTGTGCTACAAAAAAGAGCCCCGGAGGCTGTTTATGGCCCATAGATCATACTTTGCCCATCCCTGGCTGATACAGAGAATAGCACTGGAATTATTTTTTAAAACTGCACATCAACGCTGAATAAATAAGGCATCTTCACACAAGTAAATCATGTTTCAACAGTAGCAAAAATGAGCAATTATTAAGGTGTTATTTTGTGCTGCTTGGTTCAGCAGAATTCAGAGTGCTGAACTGGCACCTAGGGGACCCAGGTTCAAGTTCCCACTGGGACACGAAATTCACAGATGGCCTTAATGATATAAGTAATGATATAAGTACAGTGGACCCTTGATATCTACTGAAGCTTGGTTCCAGGACCCCCGTGGATAACAAAATCCGTGGATGCTCAAGTCCCATTAAATACAATGGCATAGTAAAATAGTGTCCCTTATACAAAATCAAGGTTTGCTATTTGGAATGTATCTATTTTTAAAATATTTTCAAGCCGTGGATAAAAAAAATATCTGTGGATAAGGAGGGCCAACTGTAATTATCAAATAAAGGAGATGACAACAGCTTCCCCGCAATACCTTAGTATCATTACAACTATAACCCCAAAAGTGACCCTCTCATAGGATTTTCTTGGCAAGTTTCTTCAGTGAGGTGTGTGTTTGTGTGTGTGTCACTGCCATCCTGAGGTTGAGAGAGTGTGACCTCCCCAAGATCAATAACGACGCTTATATACCCAGCTGATTTTAGACTATGAATTTTACATTTTTGTAGTTTAATCTGGATGATTTTAATGTGTAATTGTCATTTTAATCCAATGTTCATGTGTTTTAATGTATGTGTTCATCTACACAGTACCCCATCTCGAGCCTTGAGGAGAGGCGGGTAAGAATTATTATTATTATTATTATTATTATTATTATGCAAAGATCTTGTGCCCAGTGACAGTCTGATAGGATGGTTCCTTTTTTACTTTTTTACTGCCACAGTATGGGAAAATATTGAAGTAGGGACCCTTTCCATTTGGCTGTGAATGATGCTGATGTCATGTGCTTTAACTCATACCAAAGGAATTAATTACAGAAATCATCACGGCACCGAACAACCAGCTGCTTCTGAGAAACCTCAGGGGACTTGGCAGTGTCAGTCCTGGCTTTGCTGTTTTGGAGCTGGATGTAAAATAACTGACTTGCTTGGTCTGTACATTTCTCTTATGACCATACAACCATTGTGGGGAACCTTTCTCATGTCCAAAATGGGACCTTGCATGATGTGAATAATTTGGGGCGCACTGTAGAGCAAAAGTGGGCAACATCAGTGGCTTGGTGAACTATTTTTTATTGCATCTCTTGTCTTGTTAAAACAAAACAAAACTGGTAATGACCAAAGCCAGTGTGATGTAGTGGTCTGAGCACTGGACTATGACTCTAGAGGCCAGGGTTTGATTCCCTTCTTGGCCATGTAAGCCTTGGTGACCTTGGGCAAGTCACACTCTCTCAGCCTCAGAGGATGGCA